CTTTGGCAAAAAAGGAAAGGGCACTCTGGGAGTCAGAGGGGAGCTGATTTATAGAGAAGTCCCCACCCCTGGTCCCTGATTGGTCTGTTCTCATGCAAATGAGGACTCTAAATCCCCACAGTTTGGTCCTAAAAACACCATTCTGATTGGTCAGAAAGGAGCTGCTCTGATTGGTCAGTGAAGATGCTAATGAGGCTATTGCTGCACAGTTCCCATTGGATGGAGAAAATCTCAGTCCTATTGGTTGAAATAGGATCCTAAGAACTCCTTTGGAAGGGCTGGCTCTGACTGCAGGAACATAGTACAAGCAGGCAGTTTAGTGCAGGAGGCAAGCAATTCAGTGCAGACTTCTTCCTGAAGTGTGGCTTGTGTGAGAAGTCCGTTTAGCAATGGATGCTACATTCTGTTTGTAAATTTGAGCCTAGTTAGCCACCAGGAGCCCTTCTTAACAGGTACATTCATTCTTATGGTCAACAATACCTTTCTTCAACCTTAGAGAGGGGATGATACAGTCTCACATAATTGTGAGAACTAAGTGAATATATGCTGGGTGCTAACAACAGTACCTGGCACAAGGTATGCCCTCAAAATGTTAACTGTTCTCCCCAGTGACAGGGATACATCCTGAACACTATGGATCCTGGAGCCAGGTAGGTTTGGATGGCCACATGAGGAGCTAGGACCAGACTGGCCATAAGAAGACAAAAATATTTGGAAGCACGACTTCTGGCATGTCTTAGTGATACCTGATTAGGTAAGCAGGCCGCACAAATGCAACTTGTACATCTTAAAATACTCATACTTTTCTCATTTAAGAAAGACACACTGATGAATAATTTTTATGGCAACTTTTTTTTTTTTTTTTTAAGGATAGTGTGGCATCCAGGGTGACACATAGAACAGGGAGGGTACATCTGCATGACCACATCCTGGCACTTGCAGATAATGTACATTAGCATAACCGAGAAATCCTTGATGGGAAACAATCAAGCTTTGTATTTCTTTTCCCTTCATAAACTGGTATAAAAATATCAAAGTAAAAATATTACCAAAAATATGTTTAGCAGGAGTTCAGATTAGCCAAGAAACTGGGAACCCTCCCACTGCAAGGTGGGAGAGTTGTTTTCACATTGTCCTGCTGGCTAAGCCAGTGGTATATGGGAGGGAAGTACAAAGTGCAAAGGGAAAAGGAAAAGGAGAGGAATTAGACTACCTGTTCTTATATTAAATTTGTGCTTAAGGGAATGATTTCCTTAACCTGAGACATTCATGCAGGTCAAAACTATTTTGTACTAAGACTCTGGGGCTGGGGCACAGTAACCTGTTAGATAGTGTCTGCTGCAAGGTCAAGATGCCATTTTATTTTTTAGACTAGGCAACCCTTGGGTGACTTCACAGATTGCAAGGACCTTGTCAGCTTACAATCCCTTATTTTATTTTATTTATTTATTTTTATGCTACAGTACCTGGTTTTCCTAGGTGGTCTCCCATCCAAGTACTAACCAGGCCCGACCCTGCTTAGCTTCTGAAATCAGACGGGATTGGGCTTGCTCAGGGTAGCATGGCCATAGACTAAGGTGCCATTTTAAAAGCAGTTGCTAAACATGGAAGAAGGCAGCATTTTAAGGAGATGCTGCTGTCAAAGCTGGCAAACACAGGTGGATAGGCAGAACCCAGGTGCAAAATCAATCAGCTGGAGATGAGTAAGACCTGACAAGAGAAGGATTAAAGGAACTTAAAAAGGGAAACTTGGAGCAATTTTTTTTTCTCCTGAAGAGCTGGCAGTTTCAGTGGCTGTTCATGGGAGCCCATGGACACTGAAGAATGTAACAAAGTTGGGGGGGTGGGAGTAATGGTGTAGATGATATAGGCTCTGTTCATCCCTCTGGCGACCAAATCAAAGTTGTGATGGAAAAAAGGAGCAAACAGCAAGGAAAAATCACCTGGGATCTAGATAAACAAACCATACAACTAGGGAGAAATCTAAGGAAGCACCCTGCAACGGCAGAAGATAGGACAGGGCAAGGATGCGAGGCTGCCCGGTCTTGAGCAGCTGAGTGGGACAGAGGCAATAGCAGCAGCAGCCGGCAGCTGCAGACACCTCTTAAAGGGGCTGTGGCTGCAAGCGAACTTCCACAGTGGTGGACCTGCTTGCTCTCAGCACCAGTGCCGGTTTGGTTGCGCAGGGACTTACAGGGTGACACTGAGTAGTTGGAGTGAGGGCCTCGGCAAGTCTCACTCCCTGGCAGTAGTGCCAGTGGTATCCATTGTTTCTCTGTCGAGCCCTCCCCACTCCCAGTGCACAGACGCAGCACTGCCATAGTCCTGACGTCATCAAACTGGATAACAGAGGTTGCTCCGCCCAGAGGATTCCCTGAAACGCTGCCTCCCCCAACTCATGGCCCCACCAATCCACATCCAGGTGTATCCTCAGTGAGTCAGGTGCTCCTTGCTGAGCAGTGCCTAGATTCACACCGGAGGCAGCTGGCCTCGGTTTCTGGTATGGCCTTTGAGGCAACTATAAGCACAGCAACTGTAAATTGCTTGCTGAATCTTAACAGGTGGCCCTGGAGGGGCAGAGGCTTGGGCTAAATTTGGCCTGCAGCTGAATATCTCTCAGGACTGTGCCACTTGACACCTACTACACAAACCCATACTAATAAGACCGGGAGACTTAGGAGCTTTGCTTAGTACATAGAAACAGACACGGAAAGGCAGCCAAAATGGAAAGACAAAGAAGCAGAAACCATATGAGAGAACAGAACAGAGATCCAGAAAAAATAGAGTCAAGCCATCTAATAGATGCAGAGTTCATAACACTGGTTAAGATGCTCAATGAACTTTTGGGAAGTTTAGAGAACGTCAACAAAGAAATAGAAATTATAAAAGGGAACTAGTTTGAAACGAAGAACACATTATCTGAGATGAGAAGTATATTAAATGGAGTAAACAAAGGAATAAACAAAGTGAATAAAGAAGAGGATCAAATGACCTATATTGAGGACAGGAAAGCCAAGAATGGAAAGTCAATCAGAATGGCAAGAAAAAAGCCAAGACTATAATAATTTAAGGAGCCTATGGGACACTATTAAAGGTAAAAACATCTGTCTCATTAGGGTACTGAAAGGAAAACAAGATGTTGAACAGCTATTTGAAGACATAATGATGGAAAACTTCCCTAACTTGGTGAAGGAAACAGACATTCAACCCCAGGAAGCTCAGAGAATCCAAAGAGGCCCACACCAAGACACAGCATAATTAAAATACCAAAGGTTAAATTCAAAGAAAATCTTAAAAGCAGCAAGAGAAAAGCAGATAGTTACCTATAAGGGAGCACCCATAAGATTGGCAGCTGATTTCTCAAAAGAAACTATGCAGGACAGAAGGGTTTGGCACAAAATATTCAACATGATGAAGACCCAGGATCTACAATCAAGAATATTTTATCCAGCAAAACTATCATTTAGAGTTGAAGAACAGATAAAGAGCTTCTCAGACGAAAATAAGCTAAAGAAATTTATCACCACCAAGCCAGTATTACAGGAAATGTTGGAGGGACTTCTTTAAGAAAAAAAAAAAAACAAAACATGTATCAAAAACAGGATAAAGAATGGTAACAACTACATTCCTATCAATAAGTACCTCAAATGGAAAAGAATTAAATGCTCCGACTAAAAGAGTGGATGAATGGATTAGAAAACAAGACCCCTACATGATGCCTACAAGAGATTCATTTCAGATTAAAAGACACACACAGATTAAAAGGGAGAGGGGATGGAAAAAGATATTGCCTTGATGGACCTAGAAGTTATTTAAGTCAGACGGAGAAAGATAAACACCACGATTTCACTTATATGCAGAATCTAAGGAAAAAAAGAACAAACTAATAAAAAATGATGTACACTCACAAATATAGTGTACAATTTGGTAACAGAGGGTAGGGGTTTGGGGGGATGGGAGAATGGGGCAAAGGGTTAAAGAAGTACAAATTAGTAGTTTGATGGATGGCCACAGGGATGGGGAGCATGGCATAGGGAATCCAGTTAGAATTAATATGATGGCTAGCTGGAGAGCCAGGGGAGGGAGCGAGCAATTGGGGGGATTGTTTTATAAACTATATAGATGTCTAACCAATGTACTGTATACTCAAAAGTAATTAAAATAAATTAATTAATTAAAAAGAAAAGAATGTAACAAAATTCAGATACTAATCCTCTACTCGAATCCCTCCATGGGTAGAGTGCAATTAGACTTCCAGTGGGTTTGCCCATTGGGCGATTCCATAGCACTCAAGGAAAGTGCTGTGGGAGCGAGGCCAAGGTCCATTTCTCTCGCTCATAGCTTAGCTATGGTCCAGGGGTGGGAGTGGGGAGACTGGCTCACGTGTAAGTCCAATGCTTGCTCTGCCACATGCAGAGTCACCGTCTGGAGACGGCATGGTCCTGGGTATGCTGGGAAGTCTGCACTATGTGGGGCAAGGAGTAGTGAGAGATGGGCCAGATGTGCTGAGGATGCCATATCGCCACTCACACTCTGAAACCCTAAAGGGTGTGGGTCCCAGTGGTCCTCCCCTCTTTCACAGTCGGTGTCCATGTAGCCAATCAGCAAGACTAGAAAAGTGAGGTACAGAATGAACTGCTCTTCCTAGGAATCTCTAATGTCTTAAGAGTAACCTGGCTGAGGGTGGGGCAGAGAAGCCCCTCACAATAACTGCTTAAATCTTGCCTAACATCTTGCAGATCAGTCGGCAGAAAGTAGCCGAGTGTTCTCCAAAACACACTTTTAAGTGTGAGCCAAAGGTGCTGCTCGGGCAGGTGAGACTGCCCAGGCAGAGCCATACTACTTCAGATTAGAAAAGCACAGAATAGCACCTGGGCAAATGCTGATCCCTTAGTTGAGGTCACACAATAAGGTGTTAATCATAAGGCAGAATACAATAAAGCCAGAGCTAAAGGCCTGCTTAAACAGTATTGCCATAAATACATCCAGTCAGCCCAGACAAATATAGTAGGCCATTTATTTATTTTTTTTGCCTCCCCAGAAAGGGTTGAGTGAATAGGCATTTCAGAGGTCTACTTTCATCAAGACCGAAGCCTGGCAGAAGATAGGTCTGGGGGAAGGGGAGCACATTTTCAGATGAGGGCCTCAAACTACATTGATTCTGGGGGAGGAGCCGCCGGGGCTGTCACTGGGAAAAATGAGGCTCTTAAAGTGGAAGCAGGTCTGGGATCCAGCTTGATAGCAGGCAGCTGCCGAGTGGCTATAGCTCTCATTAAAAACAAACAACATGAACAACGAACAATTTAGAAAAATGTTTCTCAGGGATTCAAGGTAAGGGGGTGAGAGGACCAAGCAGGCCATATGGATAGTAATGAAGGCAGGTATCAGAGCAATGAGCACTGTTTCTCTAGGTTATTGTGGAATCTCAGGCTGCCAGCCATGCGAAGCTGTAGAGGAACATACCCAAGGCACAGATGGTCCCAAGTAATCTTTTAAAATGCTGCTTCACCTGCATCTTAGTAGAAAGTATGAATTGCTACTTACTTAACAGGAGACACCTATAGCCGACCTTTATTAAATGGATGCTGAACTTAAGAGAACTTGGGCTTGAAGGCTGCGGGAAGCTTCAAGTCTGTTTAACCTGGAAGCCATTGATCCTACCATGACATCGAATGTCCTCTTCTGTGACTTGGAGCTCAGGTGCAGTATTTGCAAGGACAGCAGGGCACCCGACTTGATGGAGAACACTTCCACAGGCCAGGAACCTGCCACTCTGCTTCCCAGAACAATCGTTTACTTGCTCTGCCATCATCATGATGTGGAATGTTCCAGCCTGCAGTAATGTGGGCTCCCCATTCTGTGTGGTGAGGGAGGGGAGAATGCCACCAGTGGTTGAGTGGGTGAAGACACACAATTGTTATTTTATTTCTCTCCGATTTCTACTGACAGCACTGAAGGATTAGAGATGGTGAAGGAACTCCACCTGCAGGACTAGAGTGTCACTCAAACTTTTGGACACAGACACTGTTCCTGCCAGAGGTCACAGTGCTGTTGACCACTTCTCATACTCCTGGAATTACTCAACATGTTGCTCACCACTGTCAGACTGGGACAGGCTTTAAGTAGTGCAATACACAGAGGAGAGGGAGTGCCTACTTTCAACTGCAAAAGCAGAAATACAAATCTCTCTGCTTTTCTTGTGAACACAGAGTTAATAACTTCAGAAAACGACAAAGACAGGGCAGGACCAGGATGAAGTTCAATGTTCTGGGAGTGACAGATATACTCTAACACAGGGGTCACCAAGGACTACCCAGCTGTGGGAAAGAGAGGGTCAGAACCTTTAACTGGCCATGGGGCTCCAATCTCTCTTGTCAGTTGCACATCTGTAAATGCCAAGTCATAGAAGTAGAGGTGACCTAAACCACCACCAAGTTGGTTGGAATCGTCACACCTACATCCCATATGTAGAGTAACTGCAGTACAGAGCAATCAAAGGGCAGTGTTTACACAAGGTAAGCCCCTACATTAGGTATCACCCCAGGGTCAGAATCAAGCTGAGGCCCAGAGAAACTGGGTAACTCAAGAATTTTGATTAACCTCTGCTTTTTAGGCAGACATCCCAAGTTCTGAAAGCTGGATTTGGGAGCAATACCCACAATCATGGGCTGTGTATGATGTTGGATCACCACTCTCCAAGGGCAAATGGGGTGGTAATAAGTGACATGATGTTACCAGTTAGGAGCTGCTAAATCAAAAGAAGAATGCACCATTCAAATGAATTGTCCTAGGAGAAGATGGGTAGGAAACCAGTGGACACACAGACCAGGGAGATCTCACAAAAACAATTTGAAGCAGAAGCAGACTTTAAGTTAAGTCCTAAGCTGATGCATAAGTGAATGCACTTTCTTTACTCTGGGTGTCAGCGGTTTGATTGAGAACAGAGGGTTCCATTAAAGGTGGAAACCCTTATATAAAAGAATCAAAGAGAATGAAATGCTTGTAGACCAGTTCCTTACTTTTTGTTCTTTTGCTACTCAACCTTAATTTTTACAATTTCATAATTTTTCTTAATAGTCAAAAATGTAAATTTGACAAAGTAATTTTTATGTTGTTGATGAAGCACTATTTTGGTTCTTATACTTGGTAATTCAGACTAATTACACAGAACTGTTATTTAGTTGAGGCAGTTCTGAATGATGAGGCATGTTTGACATGCTTAAATTCTCAAAACCCACAATCCTGTAAAGCTTGACTCTCAGTAAAACAAAAATGACTATCTTGATGTAAACCTTCTTGGTCATTCTCTAGAATGGATTCTCTTACATTCAATAATTAACACATTCAGTCTCAAAGCTCTTCCTTATAAACTGCAATCACATCACTTTTCTCCAATATGATGTCTCTGATGCTGAATGAGGTTTGCAGTCTGGTTGAAAGCTTTCCCACATTTATTACATTTATAAGGTTTCTCTCCTGTGTGAATCCTCTGGTGTTGAGTAAGGTGTGTGCTTCGGATAAAGGCTTTCCCACAGATTTTACATTTGTAAGGTTTTTCTCTAGTATGAATTCTTTTATGTTGAGTAAGGGCTGAATGGTCACTGAAGGCTTTCTCACATATATTACATGTATATGGTTTTTCCCCAGTATGAATTCTCTGATGCTGGGCTAGGGCTGATTGGTCCCTGAAGGCTTTCTCACACAAACCACATCTATAAGGTTTCTCTCCAGTATGAATTTTCCGATGTCGAGCAAAGGATGAATTATCTCTGAAAGCTTTCCCACATTCATTACATTTATAAGGTTTCTCTCCAGTATGGATTCTCTGGTGTTCAGTAAGGGATGAGTTCACCCTGAAGGCCTTTCCACATTCATTACATTCAAAGGGCTTCTCCCCGGTATGAATTCTCTGATGCTGAAGAAAACTTGTACTCTGATTGAAGGCTTTCCCACATTCATTACATTTATAGGGTTTGTCTCCACTATGAATATTCTGGTGTTTGGTAAGATGTGCCCTGCACACAAAGGCTTTGTCACATATGTTACATTTAAAAGGTTTCTCTCCAGTATGTATTCTATGATGGTGGGCAAGGTGTATGTTTCGAATAAAAGCTTTTCCACATAAGTTGCATTCAAAAGGTTTCTCTCCAGTGTGAATTTTCTGATGATAAGTAAGTGAGGAGCTCACTGAGAAGGCCTTGCCACATTCCTTACATTCATACGGTTTCTCACCTGTGTGAATTCTTTGGTGATGGATAAGGTGTGTACTCTGATGAAAGGCTTTCCCACATTCTCTACATTCATATCGTTTCTCTTTAATAAGAGTTTTCTGATTTACATTAAGTTTTTCAGTGTGAATTTTCTGATGTTTATTAAGGGTTGAACTCTTAGTGAAGACTTTTCCACACTCACTACACTCAAAGGCTTTTTTGCTAGATTGAAATCCCTGACTTTGAACAAAAGGTGAGCTCACAGTGCAGTGCTTCCCAGATTCATCACATTCTTGGTAACTACCCACAGATGAGGTTTTATGGTGCGTGAACACTACTTGCTGCAACTTTATCTCCTGGCCTCCATGCTGCCATTCCCATAGGCTATCATATTTCCAGTGACTATCTCTAGTGAATCTTTCCTTTATCACCCACCGATCCAATTCTTCTTCAGGAATATCTTCCTTGAGAGTAGATTTCTTACTCACGGGCACAGTCATCCAGTCTGAAAGACATCAAAAATAAAAATGTCTGTTTTATTCCAGCAAAACATCTACTTGGGATAAGAGGAGCCTGTTTATAATCATAATAAAGAGGCTGCAGTTTTGAAAATTTCTTGAAGTGAAGAAAGGAAAGGAGAACAGAAGTCAACAGAGGACAAAACAGGAAGGGGTTGATCTAATGTATAATGTATGAAGCAGGAGATCTTGGGAGCTTGAGTTCAGAAGTCACGGGCTTGGGTTGGGATCCTGAGTATAATAGTTACTTTATTTGTAATTACAGATAAGTTACTTGACTTTCTAAGCCTCAAAAACCCTATAGAGACCACAAGATACTAATGATTAAAAAAAAAACGTACCTTGTCTATTTTAGTGATATGGTCTTTAAAATAATCCAGATGTGACCTTAAGAAACCATTGAAACTAGAGGCAATACTTGGCAGAAAAAATTCATCTCTAGAGTAACTACAAAATCCATCATTTCAATGTTTAATACATTCACGTTAGCATTTGGATGGATAATAGAAAGTTAGGATACTATTAATGCTGTGGGAAAGACCTCCCGCTACCAGTGAGGAAGCAATGTCTTCAAACCTATATGAACAATGTGACATTTACATGAGGAAAATATACTATGAGGATGTATATGTGAGCACAGAAAGTCAGGAGCAAGGCAGCAAACCTGTCAAGATGTACCCACTGCTCTCAGTGGACAAGGTCCTGAATAACTAGAATAGGACTCTGCTGCTGTGATAGGAATTGGGGTCCCTTGAATTATCTGACACATGATTCCTCTCTCCAAACACAAAGTTCAGGCTTACTCAACAACTGTCTGGCTTGGTATCTTTCATGAGTAGAGTTCAAGATTGCATATTAGTTTTTCATATGTATTTGTGAATATCTGCCTTTTATGTTATCTATTTAAGACTCTGTACTAAGAGATGCAATATAACAACTAGCAACTAAACACACATGAGGCAGATTCCTGGGAAACTCTATTAAAAACAAGCCCCCCTCATTACATTTCTTTTCCTACTCACTCCAGAAAATCTACAAAGAGCTATTATCAAAAAAATAAACCCCGTAAAGCTTATTTAAAACAGAAAGGTAAACAGGTGCATTTTAAGGCTAAAATCCTAGTGAGCTCAGAGAATATATCCTTGCTCAAAACTGAGAATGGTCAAAGTTAAACACCAATATTACCAAATTTCAAAATCTTAAGGACAGACTTTTACTTCTGGACCTGATAGAGTAGCCTGTGGCAGACTGACATTCCTAAGGAAAACAACAGGAAAATCTGAAGTGGAAAAAAAAAAAATCTGTCTAAAGGCATCAGATGTCACTTGAGGCCAACTTGATAGTCTAATTTTTGGGGAGAGAAGGGAAATACAGAGAGTTGATTCCAACACTTAATGGTTTTTATCTCATAAAATTTGCTGAATTCTTAAGCTGCTCAGGGCAAGAAACTAAAGCTAAGCAGAGGTTCAGAATTTTCTATGGTCTTGTAGAACTTTGGAGCTAAAAACTGGAGTTTAGGACCTTCTAAGGAAGGGGTGGGAGGGTGGTCAGAGTAAACATGTGAGGCTCTCATTTGGATTCAAATATTTGTATTGTAGGGATCCCAGAAGGAGAAGAAAGAGAGAAAGAAACAGAAACTTTATTTTTTTAAAAAAAATGGTTGAAAGCTTTCCTAAACTGGGAAAGGAAACAGACATCTAGGTCCAAGAAGCACAGAGAGTCCAAATTTGATGAACCCAAAGAGACCCACACCAAGACGTACTGCAATTAAAAAGGCAAGTTAAAGAGACAATCTCGAAGGAAGCAAGAGGAAAGCAACCAGTTATATACAAAGGAAATCACATAAGGCTATCAGCTGATTTAACAGCAGCAACTTTATAGGCCAGAAGGGAGTAGCAGAACACCTTTAACCTTTAGAGTGCTGAAAGAAAGGAACCGACAACCTAGAATACTACACTCGGCAAGATTATCATTCGGAATTGAAGGAGAGATAGTTTCCTAGACAAACGAAAACTAAAGGAGTTCATCACCATTAATCCAGCTTTACAAGAAATGTTAAAGGTACTTCTTTAAGCAGAAAAGGAAAAGTCATAACTAGATATAAGAAAATATGAGGAAGGAAAAATCTCACAGGTAAAGCCGAATATTTAATAATTACAACAAATTGGACATGTAAAAAGCTACTATAAAGGTCAAAACAAAAAGTATCAAACTCAATTCGAACTACAATAAGTAGTTAGGAGATACACTACACAAAAAGATCTAATAATGACATCAGTAACGTAAAGCAAGGAGAGGGGAGTTAAATGAAATCCTTACAGAATATATTCAAACTTAAATGCCTATCAGCTTATAATATAGAATGATATATCATTCTGTACTGCTATACTTCTATAAATTTATACTGCTATAAATATAGAATGATATGCATAAATCTCATGGTAACCACAAACCAAAAAACATAAAAGATATGCAAAGGATAAAGAGAAGAGAACCCAAACAAAACTCTAAAGAATACCAGCAAACCACGAAGAGATCAAGAGAAAAAGAAAGGAACAGAGGAGAATTATAAAAACAACCAAAAAACAATTAACAAAATGGCATATTTATCAATAATTTCTTTAAATGTAAATGGGTTAATGTTCCAATAAAAAGACAAAAGGTGGCAGAATGGATAAAAAAAAAAAAAAAAAGACCCATTGTATGCTACCTACAAGAGACTCACTGCAAACAGAAAGACACAGTGAAAGTGCAAAGAGAAACAAAATGAAAGCTGGGGTAGCAATACTCATATCAAACAAAATAGACTTTAAAACACAAAATGTAAAAAAAGAAAAAAGACAAAAAAGAACACTGCATACTTATAAAGGAGTGGATCCAAGAGGATATTATAAATATCTATGTACAATTATAAATATCTATGTACCCAACATAGGAGCACCTAAATATGTAAAAACAATTATTAATAGATGTAAAGGGAGAAAAATCACAGTAATACAATAATAGTAGGGATTTTTAACACCCCTGTCATATCAATGGATAGATCATCTAGATAGAAAATTAGTAAGGAAATAATGGCCCTTAAATGTCACATTAGATCAGATTGACTATAGAAATTTTTTAAAATTTCATCCCAAAACTGAAGAATAGTTTTTTTCAAGTGCACATAGAATATTCTTCAGAATGGATCACATATCAGGTGACAAAACAAGCCTCAATAAATTCAAGAAGACTGAAATCATATCAGGTATCTTTTCTGAGAACAATGGCATAAAAATTGGAAATCAACTACAGGAAGAAAACTGAAAAAAACACAACTATGTGGAGACTAACCAATATGCTACTAAACAACCAATGGATCAAAGAGAAAATCAAACAGGAAATCAAAAACCATCTTGAAGCAAATGAAACAAAAATACAACTTTTCGAAATGTATGGGATGCAGCAAAATCAGTTCAAAGATGGAAGAGACAAGAAAAATCCCAAATCTCACTCTGTATTTAAAAGACCTAAAAAAGAAGAACACACAAAACCAAAGGAAACAGTAGGAAGGAAATATTTAAGATCAGAGTGGAAATAAATGAAATAGAAATTTAAAAAACAATAGAAAAGATCAGTAAAAACTAAGAGCTGGTTCTTTGAAAAGATAAAATTGACAAATCTTTAGCCAAACTCATCAAGAAAAAGAGAGCCCAAATAAATTAAATCATAAGTGAAAGAGAAGTTACAACTGACATCACAGAAATACAAAGACTCTTATGAAGAATATTATGAACAATTACATGCCAACAAATTCAGCAACCTAGAAGAAATGTCATAATAAATTTCTGTAAATATGTAACCTTCTAAGACTGAACCACATAGAAATAAAAAATCTAAACAGAGCGATTTCTAGCAATGAAAGTGAAGCAATAATCAAAAAACTCCCAACAAATAGAAGTCCAAGACCAGACCCCTTCACAGGTGAATTCTACCAAACATTCAAAGAAGAAATAATACCTATCCTTCTTAAACCATTTCAAAAAATTGAAGAGGAAGGAATGCTTCCAAACTCAATCTATGAAGCCAACATTGTCCAGATACCAAAACCAAACAAAGACATTACAAAAAAAGAAAATTACAGGCTAATATCCTTGATGAACATAAATGTAAAAATTCTCAATAAAATATTAACAAACCGAATTCAATAATACATTAAAGGATTATAGACCACAACAAAGTGGATTTCAACACAGGGATGCAAGAATGGTTCAATATCAATAAATCAATCAACATGATACATCACATTAGCAAAATAAAGGATAAAGACCATATGAACACCTCAATAGATGCACAAAAAACATTTGACAAATATCAACATCTTTTTACACCAAAAACTCTGAACAAAGTGGGTATCAAAGGAACATATCTCATCATTATACAGGTTATATCTGACAAACCCCTAGCTAGTATCATACTCAATGGTGAAATGCTGAAAGGTTTTCCTCTAAGATCAGGAGCAAGACAAGGATTCTTGCTATAACCACCTCTATTCAACATAGTATTAGAAGTCCTAGCCAGAGAAATCAGACAAGAAAAAAAAAAAAGACATTCAAATCAAAATGGAAGAAGTAAAACTCCAATTATTTGCAGATGATATAATACTATATACAGAAACTCTAAAGACTCCACCAAAAACTTATTTGGACTAATAAATGAATTCAGTAAAGTTGAGGAGATAGATCAAAATACAGAAATCTGTTGCATTTCTATACACCAATAATGGATGATCAGAAGAAGAAATTAAGAAAACAACCTCATTTACAACTGCATCAAAATGCATAAAATACCTAGGAATAAATTTAACCTAAGAGGTGAAAGATTTGCACTCTAAAACTATAAGACACTGAAGGAATTGAAGAAGATACAAATAAATGCTTATGGATTGGAAGGATTAATATACAGATTCAATGCAATCCTTATTAAAATGCCAATAGACTTCTTCTCA